TACTAGGAGCAAAGGGCATCGCTACTAGGAGCAAGGACGCTACTAGGTTGGAGGCCGTGATGTTTGTTGCGAGGGGAGATCCAGAGATCATCCAACAGCCAGACATTGTGTGAGGAAACTCGAGCCTTTTGTGGGACATGCTGGGACTCAACAATTGGAAGGTTTTCAAGTGCCGTGCTATGGGCCTAGCTTTGTTTGATGAGGCTATGTCGGCGAGGTGTGGTTGTACGTTGCTCAGTCTGTTCTGTCCTGTGGCACGGTTTTGTGTGTCTATGTGTCTTGATTTCCAGTCTGCAACTGAAGTCTTTCTGTAGACCTTCAGCGTCCTTGTGTTTGTCAGTGCGCTTTGCCATCGTGCTTCGTGCGCCATCCTTTGGACCTTCTCCGGATCTGTCGGCCAGAACAGCAGATTGTTGGGATGGCTGACGGCCCAAGGCATTCGAGCTTAATAACGACCGCATCGCCACGAACGTAACAAAGGGCATCGCCACGAACGGAGCGATCGGACGCTACGAACGGAGGGCTCCTGGCCTTACTACTAGTAACAAGAAGCTATTAGGTTGGAGGCCATCGCCATGGCTGGCATGTAACTACTGTATGTCTCGCCCCATCAGCTGCCAATGGCTGTGTTTAGCCGCTGTGTCGGCTTTGTCTGTGATTGGCTGATCTGCGTCCCCAGTGAGCTTTGGGTAGCTTGAGGGATCATCAAACCCAATACTTGTCCTTCCCATAGCAAAATGCAAGAGCTTCAACTGATTGTTTTGCGGTGCAAGACTTGGTGACTTGCATGCTGTTTTCCGATGAAGCTGAGATCGCCTGAGCATGCTGTGATGTGAATTTGCTTGTTTACACCTAGCTTGGAGGGGTTCACGGTCACAGCAGTTACTGATGTATGTTGAAGCTCAAAAGAAGTCAGTGCTATTTGGGGTCCATGCTCGAGTAGTGCGAAATCGTACTTGGCTGGTTTCAAGGTGTTCAAAGTGTTTTTTTTGATTGTCATGTTGATCCTGCACAAGGCAGTGACATGCTAAAGCATGCTTCGACTGTGACTTGCGACCAGGATTTTAACCGGATGGACGACAAGGAGCTGCCTGGAAAGACATTTCGACAACGTGACGACAAGTTCAAACATATGCTCCATGGCCTCCAACCTCATAGCGATAGACTCCAACCCTACTTGCGATGGCCTCCAACAGATTTCAACTGTCTGCATTGCCAGGACTCGGAACAACGAACTGCCGTCCACATTTGCATCTTGAAAAAGATGCCTGAGGAGTTTCTCTCGTGTGACACGTTGAACACGCTGTGATTTTGTTAGCAATAACTCCCCAAGTGGTTCGGATTTCCAGAACAGTTGTCAACTTTCATTTTGTTCATGCAGAGATTGTCTTGCTTGAAAAGACTGAAGATGCGATGAAAACAAGCAAGACTTGATCAAGACACCTGAAGCCAGGGAAGCCAGACCGCTCACTTGCTCTAGACATCTCACGTCTGCCCGACTGGCTATCTCGCTTTTCTTGTTTATATTCTGGTTGACCGTAGATTCTACCAAGAAGAGCCTGATTCTGGATGGACAGAGTCTGATTCCAAAAGCCACAAAAATGGATGAACACTGAACCGCGAGAGCGCTCTAAATCTGCTCACGGCAGGTAAGGGTAGAACGGCTGATGTCTGGCCTTGCATGATTCTTGAAAACAGGCATGTTTGGCAAATAGAGAGAAAGAGAAGAAAAACAGAAACCTAGCCTCCAACCTAATAGCAATGGCCTCCAACTCAAGAGCGATGGCCTCCAACCTAATATCAAGGGTTCGAAAACAGGCATGTTTGGACCTGCATGTTTGACACGTGAGCCGACTTGGGGGGGTCAAAGTTTGGGTCATTGCACGCTTGGAGATCACGGAGAGTCTTAGACGACTCGGACAACTCAGTGAAGAGGTCGACTTTGGACTAAAGGTTGGCCATAGGGGTGTAAGATCCATTTTTTCCCTCTTGGATTTGGATGCCTCTCTTACTCTTCCACCTATTCTCAACCTCTTCCTCAGCTATGCCCACGATCCCCCTTCCTCAGCTACGCCCAACAGTACCCCTTGACGGTGTAACCCCCCCCAACAAGGAGAGAGGGGTGACATCCAAGACCTAGTTTGCGAGCATAGGAACTGTTGACTTTTCTTGCACAACTGCAGAAGCCGTTTCTCCTTCTTTGCTTTATCTCTTTATCATTTTGTTTTCACCTTTATTTTACGTTCTTTCTTTATAAAGTAGTTTTCGCAGCTGTCGCAGCTGTTTGCGCCAGGATATTTGCCTCAGCATTCTGAACAGAGATGACTTCACAGAGGTCAATGCCATTGATCAGGTGACGAAGATGAGAACGATTTAGATTGCTCAGATCACTCCAGGACAACGAAAAGAAAAAGGAGAAAAGGAGAAAGAAAGGTCTTAAAGGTTTTCAAGGAGAAAACGACACAATTTAGCCATGTGACTGGCAAATAGCGCTCAGTTTGGCTACACCATCCTCTCCCTGGCTGCCTCCAACAGCATGGTGGGCGTGTGCAAAGCAATCCTTGACCATCCGGAGTTCACCCAGGTGAATTCCAAGGACTGGACTCATCTGGACTGGTTCTTCAAGATAGTCAACGCAGCTCTTAGGTTAGAGGCCATTGCTCTTAGGTTGGAGGCTCAGTTGAAAATACAGCGACCAAGCTGATGGGCGACTCAAGCAGCATTGTGCTTGATGGGACGCCAGGACAAGTGGGGTGCCACTGCCTTGCATTGGGCGGCAGCATCGAATCTGGGCAAGCCTCTGAAAGTGAAGATTGAACTTGGTTCGCTTTTCATGTAAACAGAGCATCACAAGAAGCTACGAACGGGGCTCCTGGCCTTACGAACGGAGCGATCGGACGCGAACCGAACGGGGGCGGTTGATTGGGAGCGAACGTCCTAGGCTCAGTTTGCACTGGCATCCTGGAGCATCCTGCATTTGTGGAGGCATGGAGTTGCAACGGAAATGTGCAGCCAGAAGATCCACAAGTTGGATCCGACACAAGTGCATCTCAAGATAGACGTTGTGTTTACTTTGAACGGGTTGCCTGCTTGACATGTCCATAACACGGTTGTTCTAATTAGTTAACAGTTAGGTTGGAGGCCATCGCTCCGTTTGGTAACCGTTCTAGCGGACTCTTCTCGGTCGTAGGTTGATGCCGCATTTCCAAATTCGAGGCCCACGTCGTCGCTTTCAGCTTCAAGTTCGAGAATCAAACGGCTCTACAAGTTGCAGAGGTTGGACATCGTTCCGCCTCGATCAAGTGCAGTTTGTCAATCACGTTCGTTTAGTTTTTGGCTGTGACAAACACCAAGTTTGCAGTGCATTTCTCAAAATTCGTTTGGAGGAGAGAGGCTGTGCAGATGCAGAGCAGGTGCACGTGAAGCTTCCGAAGCACACACGTCTTCGTAGACGAGAATGCCGGGACTTGTTTTCTTACTTAGTAGGTTATAGCAGCCTAGCATAGGCACTGCAAGTTTCTGTTCCTGAATCGCAAGTTTCCATGATTCTTCGTCCGCAGTCTCTGGAGTACGGAGAGAGAGTCTGCGAGTCGTCTGCGACTGGACAGGCAATCAAGAAGGCCCTGAGTGTGTGAGCCATTGAACATCCGTGTCTTAATACTGAACGCTGGCACGTCCTTGTTCAGGTGAGAGTCATTACCTTCCGATTTGTTTTGACACGTTGGCACGTCGTGCGGATGTTTGAGAGTGTGGACGGCTGAAAGCAGCCAGAGCTCGGTAAAAAGATCGGTGACTGGCCTTCAAGCCTGACAGTGAGGAAAGCCCGCAATTGTTGCCGTTCGTTCAGTTGCTTAGTCTATGCTAGTGTAGGTTTGATGTCAAGATAAAATATGTAAGGAGCAAGGACGCTACTAGGGGCTCCTGGCATCGCTACTAGGAGCAAGGACGCTACTAGACTGTCCGAGCTATAGCTCGGGCTTAGAATAAGTTATCTAGAAGAAGAGTAGGGTTCTTGAGTGGCCCACAGACAGAAGATGCTGCGCTACATTTGACGTGGACATCACCGCATGTAGCTTGAAATGGAAACTATGGACGAAGCAGTCTCAGATAAATAGCCCTTGGCGCTGCCTCATTACTTAATTAAGTCGGCGCCTACTTAATTAAGGGCCAAGTAAGCTACTAGCTACTGGACGCAGGATAGCGCTCGCACTATTCATCATTTAGTTCCTAGATTTAGTAGTTAGCTGATCAATGAAAGTTTCACTGCACAGTTCCGAGTTGCACAATGTTGCTAATGTTGCTAACAGCTAGTGCGCATGGATGAATGGGAAACGTGTGAAGGTCAAAAGAAAGTCCAAAAGCGAAACAAAGAAAACAACATCAAAGCAATAATAAGCAAGAAAAGAACAAGCAGAAATAGGAGATAAGTAAAGCAGCAACTACTTATTATGTTTCGCACTTTTGAATTTTCACACCGGCCTTGCCACATGGATAAAGTGTTCTCGTTGCTCGTTCCGTGTGTCGCTTTTTCTTGCCGAGGTGCTAACAACTGCAGATTTGCAGCGTGCCGCCAAGCGCCTCAATGTCGAGCTGCGGGAGAACGTCGCAGGGCCTTGGTGCCGCCAGTGATGTTAGCTGCGAAGAGGTTTGTTAACAAAGACCGCGTTACTAGGGGCTCCTGGCCGTACTACTAGGAGCAAGGACGCTACTAGGGGCTCCTGGCCTCGCTACTAGGAGCAAAAGGCGCTACTTGTAGACCTTTCTTCCTTTTCTTTTTTCTTTGTTTCTGAGAGCGATGGCCTCCAACCTACTAGCGATGGGCTCGAATCTAATAAGCTGCGAAGAGGTTTACTTTGTGACAAGCAGGTGGTTCAATTACAGTGCATTGATTTAATTCCTTGGCTTGCTTGGCTTTTTCTGGTGTTCCCAAGCCTTGCCTTTTCTTGCTTCCGGTCAGCCTCTTCCAACAATTCCCTTGACTTACGTAAGTTTCAAGACGCTTGCTTGCAAAGCCCTTGGCAAGAAAGCTTCTCGTAAACGGCAGTGCTTTGAAGTACAACCAAAGCGCACCATGGCGCACCATGAAAAATCAGTGAACACATGTGAAGGGAGACATATCCGGGCACTTTCTTTTGCAAATTGATATTGACTGTAATTAAGACATTAAGATGACCAGCTCGAACTGATGTTCCAGACGACACTTACGTGAGAGGTATCAGATTGAACTCTATAGTGGAGATCGGCAGCTGGGCAAAACCAGCGGCTGGGCTCAGCCATGGGTGTCTTGGACAAGCGAGTGGCATGTTGAAATCCGTGATGTTGCTTCATCTAATGAAACCAGGTCAACATACATGAAACAGTAACTGAAACACTTGGATTCTCAAATACCCAACATGATTTGGTGTGGACTATTGTGCATCGCGTTTCTGTCCAGTGAGGGCTTGCAGGGGGGCCTTGTTTGGAGTGTTTTTTGGAATAAATGGTCTCATGTGCTCCATGCAAAGAAAGGCAACAACGTCCGTTGTGCATTTCAGCCGATGTACGTGTTACGGAAATGGTCATTCAGTCCCCTTTCGATGTTGAAGTAGACAGCACAAAGGACTCAAACTAGACTGCTGATAGGGAGTGAGATGGAGTTCCGAGTTAGGTATGGTTTCGGTTTTTGTTTTTGCTTCGCTTGTTCGACCATTCGCTTGTTCGTTTTTGCCGAACGAACGAGCTGTTCGACCAGGGCAGTTTGCACTTGGAGACCATCGAGGCACGGTTCGGGGAAGTCGACCATCGCAGCGGTTTGACCGAACACCGAAGTTTCATCGCACATGGATTTTTAGACTACAAGAAGAGACTGAGATAGCTTCCTAGTAGGATCTAGTAGGTTGGAGGCCAATTGCTATTAGGCTCTCTCTTTCTTATCCTTTTTCCTCATGTATTCTCTTCTTTTTTCTCCACCTGTGAGGTGAGGGTCTCTGGATTTTACGTCAGCGGTACAACACTGCATTTTCCTCGTTTGTGCTTCCCATACCTCGACGCTTCACATTGCCGACCTCGACCTTACACCCGCCTGCAGACCAGGAGCTACTAGTAGCGTCGGATCGCTCCGTTCGTAGCGATGCCCTTTGATTCCTAGTAGCAAGAATGCTCCTAGAAGTATGGCCAGGAGCCCCTAGTAGCTTTCTTAAAAGCCCATGTCCCAACACAACGCACTTCAGAACATTTGCCAGACTTGATGTTTCAATATATTGCCAGGACAGATGTATGACAGATGTCAGAACAAATACCAGAACACATGTCAGGCAGTATGCTGGGTCGTTTGTCAGGCCAGTCTGTCAAGAGTACCTTTGTTGGAAACCACTCGAAGGGAGTATGTCATATTTTTCTGACATTAAGCCGTGTCAAAACTAAAACGTGTTTAGTTTTTTTTTCAAGAACACAAGTAAACCTATCCCGCTTGCGAAAGCCGCGCTTGCGCAGCCTGCGACATTGAGGGCACCTTTATTGTTAGCCCAGCAATTGCTCATGTATTGCTACATAAGGGTTTCTTTTTCGCTTTCACACTCACTAGCGGCTAGCGCACAGAGCAGTCAAGCGCAGCGCCTACGGACGATGCAGTCTGGAATTAGACAGCCGTATCGTGATCGAAGTCCGGTCTAAAGATGGCTGCGTTGTTCTCTTCAGCAGCAACAAGATCTTGCATCCAATCTGCAACTGTGGAGAAATCCCGCACCGGACATTGTGGCTGCCTTCTCAACCACCATTCAAACAGCATTGCAATGTATGTACAACTCGGAGCGGGGCACCCTTTAAGTTTTGCTGTCTTCCAGCCATCTTGCCCGAAGCCAATATGCTAGCCTCTTTGGACAGCGCAGTATGTTCCTAGTAGTAAGGCCAGGAGCCCCTAGTAGCTTCTTGCTCCTAGTGGCGATGCCAGGAGCCCTAGTAGCGTCAATCCTTGTGAAGGAATGATTGGCTTCATACTCGTGGCAGCCAATAAGTGTCCTTGCAAAGATAATATTGCCAGCGGCGCAATGAAGAAACTCTTTCTGAGTAAGATCAGGCAACCCACGTAGAGCACAAAGTCCGGGGAGGGGTTTGGGAGGCTACTAGTAACAAGGGCATCGCTACTAGGAGCAAAGACGCTACTAGTAGCTCCTGGCATCGCTACTAGGAACAAGAAGCTACTAGGAGCAAGGGCATCTCTACTAGAAACAAATGGCATTACTACTAGTAGCATTCTTGCTACTAGGAACAAGAATCTCCAGCACAGTGACTTCACGAGCCACAGTCCACGTCTGGGGAGGTGAATCCGGCTCCTTCAGAAAGACGTAACCACTTCTGGTGTGCGTTTGGCATCAACTTGCACTGAGATCACACCGAAACAGCTGTAAGGGTTGAACCATCTGCGACAACAGCCTTTGTAAGGCGTGTTGGAGGTCACCACTGTGTCATCTCTCGCACGAAGATGCAGGAAAACACGTTTGGATAAAGAGTCTCAAAATGATACTGCTTTGCGTGTGACTTGCACTGTTTGACATACGGGTTTGGTCTAAATCAATAAATTTTGGTGCATTGTTCCTTTAATTGATGAACCTGGTGGGTGAGCCGTTAGGCCGTTAGTCATTATATCGCGTTTGGTCATGACAGTTAACTTGGGCACCTTGATAAGCTGACGACCGATATTTAGTACGGCACCTTGCTACTAGTAGTAAATGCCCTTGTTACCCCTTGCTCCTAGTAGCTTCTTGTTCCTAGTAGCGATGCCAGGAGCTACTAGTAGCGTCCTTGCTCCTAGTAACGATGCCCTTGCTACTGCCTCCAAACCTAGGAGCTTCCTGCTAACTAGCAGCTTCTTGTTGCTGGCCAGGTCCGAAAGTTCACGGGCTATTGGGTGGCGAAACCGGGGAAGGAATCCGAGGCATCGGAAGATGCCGAACGAAAGCGCTATGCCGATGTGGCGAAGGCGGGGGCGGGCGGGTAAACACGACTTGCTGCATAGGAGGGCCAAGGGCTGCTTGCTGCAGAGCCGAGGCTAATGTAGGGATGACTTCCGAAGGACCCTAAGGATATGAGGTGATCCATGACCTCCAACCTAATAGCGATGGCCTCCAACCTAGAAGCTTCTTGCTCCTAGTAGTACGGCCAGGAGCCCCTAGTAGCGAACCTTGTTCCTCATAGCGATGGCCTCCAACCTAATGGCTTGAAAGAAACAAGGAGTCGGGTCGAACAATCGAAGAATTTGTGAGCTCCGAGGTGGCACGGTGGTTTGGTTTACTGCTATCATGCGCCATAGCATGTGGTTGCCTCAGTTCAGATTGGAAACACTGCAGAAGCTGATTCACAAACTTTGACTTTTACAGTAATTACATTTACTGTAGCTGCTGCATGCTGACAGAACCGAAAGCAAAGATTGATCTCGGGTGCAGCGGGTTTTATAAGGTAGCTAGTAGGTTGGAGGCCATCACTGGTATGTACATCATGCAAACTAACCTTACATACTATGATTGCTATGCTCTCAGACGATGTGATCAGAGTGCAGACGATGGGATTGACAAACTACATGTTAACGCATGCATGACACACTACGTACATAATCCAAGTCACCAAAACACGACAATGAGGAAAACGATCGATAAGGTTAAAATGTACAATCTATGTTTATTTCAATTTTCTTTGGGTTTTTCATTGACGAACGAAGACCTCTTTTTTTTGATGTTTTGCGCCTGAAAGAATGAAGCTCGAAGTTGGAACGATCGGGAAGCGGTGAGGCGATGCACCAGACCAATGACGGTCCATGATTGAAAGATGAAGCTAATAGTAACAAGTGCATCGCTAGTAGTAACAGGTGCCACGCTAGTAGTAACAGGTGCCTTACTAGTAGTAACAAGAAGCTACTAGGGACAAGACTTCTACTAGCAAGAAGCTACTAGGGGCTCCTGGCCTTACTACTAGGAGCAAGGACGCTACTAGGGACTAAGAAAAATGTGCTTTCAGAAACATTGTTCTTTTTCTTTTGGCCTTCACGCCTTTTCCTTTTTCCTTCTTTTCTGTTACTTTTTTGCCGATTTCGGGGTCCCTGAATTGCATCGATCTTCACGTATCCTGTATCCGACGTATCCCAAGGCAGTGCCTAAATCCGCCGAATCAGATCCATCATGCTGGGAAAGATTCCCATACTTACAATACGGAGACATGTTAATGGAGACATGAGGATCCAAGCTGAAAAAGCCTAGCAAGTCTGCAAAAGTCTCAATCTCATGACTCCCAGTCAGCTTAGACCATCGCACAGGGGATTCCACAATATTCCACATGTTGAGGAGGCCATCGCTAGTTGTGCAACACACATCGACTGGTGGAGCATCCATCACTTCTACTTCAACATCACGCCACCCTGGTCATCCTAAGTAGTAACAAGAAACTATTATTAGCAAGGACGCTATTTGGTGGAGGCCATCGCAAGTAGGTTGGAGGCCATTGCTACTAGGAACAAGAAGCTAGTAGGGGCTCCTGGCATCGCTACTAGGAGCAAGAAGCTACTAGGGGCTCCTGGCCGTACTATTAGGAACAAGAAGCTAGTAGGGGCTCCTGGCATCGCTACTAGGAGCAAGAAGCTACTAGGGGCTCCTGGCCGTACTACTAGGAACAAGAAGCTAGTAGGGGCTCGGTCGGAAGAGCGAGAATCACAGCACTCGGAAGAGCGGTCAAACACTCGGACTTGACCAGACTCTGCTTGAGTTGCCCTGTTCGCTACTAAGAACAAGTGCATCGCTTCTAGTAACAAGTGCCTTACTAGTAGTAACAAGGTTCGCTACTAGGGAAAAAACAAAACACTCTTTGCTGTTTTTGATACATCTGAGACCTGGAAGCTACTTCTACTGACAAAAAGGCACATTTCCTGGAAAAAGTAAAACTCAGTCAATGCTCCGCATTGGTGCCGAGACAGAGAAAAGGCAGGAACGAGTTCGCTTCAAAACCTCTTCGGTTTCCTTTCTTCCTTATTCTTCCTTCCTCTACGAAAGTGATTTTCAGAAACAATTACTTTTGCAATTGAAGTGGATACTTGGGCAAACAATGCCATCAAGTGACTTTTATTTGAGAAGATAATCAATCCTTGCATACTTTCCAGTCTGTTGTTTCATTGCAGTTACAGGCTTCCCTTGGGGTTTTGGGTTGATGTCCCGGCACAACGTGGGTTTGAACCTCCAATTTTGGAAGACCCAGCGGCTGGTTCGCCGAGGTTGGAACCGGGAGCGATCCCCATTTTTCTGCAAGGAGGCAGAGCAGCAAGAGCGGAGCAAAACAAATCGCGTTTTCCGTTTTTTGCGACTTCCATATTGAGACCAGGCGTATCTTCTGGCCATCAAAGATGAAGAGAAGCAGCACGACCGTCTTGTCCGGTATTACAAAGGCGAGTCGGGACTGGGACCTGTGCTGATGTCACGAAAGACGCCAGTGAGGCTTGGGCTTCAAGGTCATCAAGGACCCAGAGACATTGGAGTATCAGGATCAGGCGCTATTAGGGGGGAGGCCATCGGTAGTAGGTTGAGATTTTCGCCGTGGTACTGTGAGAGAGAATGTGGCTGTTTACTGTGGAACATTGGCTTTAGCTTGCGCAGGTGCTCAGACCCAAATCTCAAAGCAGAATTGGGTAGGATTGAACCAATGCAAGCAGACGACTCAAATCTGACCTACTTAAGATGATCAAGTTTCAACTGCAGACAGCGTATCTTTGAGCTATGGCAAAAGCTCGTTCTCGGCTTAAGGCAAATCTCAGGAAAATGGTTTCTTCAGTTTTGGGGAACATGACATGTGCCGAAGCGTTCAACAGTTGCAAAGCTTAATGGTGTTTTTTTGTATTTCTTCTTTGGGCCTTCTTTAAAGTTGTTTTTGAAGCTTTTAGGTTGGAGGCCATGGCTACTAGGTTGGAGAGTTGGAGCCCATCGCTTCTAGGTTGGAGGCCATTGCTATTAGGTTGGAGGCGATCGCTTCTGGGTTGGAGGCCATTCCTATTGTTAGAGATAAAGAAAAGAAAGGTCTAATATAATATACTGTAGTTTTTCTAATGAGTTCTTTTTCGTTGTGTCTTCCCAGGCGGCCTTGACTTGCTGCTTGCTGGCGCCAGCCTGGCTGGGCCCGACTTGCCACTGGAAGTGAAGTCGGGCCGTTTCTTTCTCGCTATTTGCTCCGTTCGTAGCGAGGCCAGGAACCCCTAGTAGCGTCCTTGCTCCTAGTAGTGCTGCTGTTCTAGTTACAAAAATGTTTTTCTCATGTTTCGATTCTCCTTGTCCCTCCTTTCTTTCAGACCTTTCCTACTTCCCTTCCTTTCCTCTGTCGTTGTTGCGTTCTTTTTTTTTGCGCGCGTGGTCCCATCTATCCTACCCAGTGCTGCGTTTAGGGGTGCGGGCTGGTGGTGCACCTCGGAGCAGACAAGGAAAGCGAAAGCTGATCAAGGAAGATTTCCGATGCACTTGTTACTAGAAGCGATGCACTTGTTCCTAATAGCTTCTGCATGCTTTTCCATCTTTGCTACTAGCAGCCTAGCAGTTTATGTTTAACTCGATGTCAGCCGTATGAGAACCCAGGCCCGAAATTTTCTCGGAGAGCTATCGGAGCGACTTGGAAGATACCGGGTGTACCGGAGTAGGAACAAGGACGCTACTAGGAGCAAAGGGCATCGCTACTAGGAACAAGGACGCTACTAGGGCTCCTGGCCTTACTACTAGGAGCAAGAAGCTACTAGGAGCAAAGGGTATCGCTACTTGTCTAGAGCCAATGTGCCACATCTCGTTGATTGTACTTGTGATACTGCCTGAGATCATTATCCCTCTGACAATTCTGGGACCAACAGAGTCAGGCGAGCTTTGGTCAGATCCTTTCATTCCTGCAAACGGTGGTTGTTTTTTTTCATTCTTCCTCTTGGGAACCCAATACCGATGGCCTCCAACCTAGTAGCTTCTTGCTATATACTAGTAGCATCCTTTGCTCCTAGTAGCAATGCCAGGAGCAGCATCCTTTGCTCCTAGTAGCAATGCTAGGAGCTACTAGTAGTGATGTTTCTCCTTTCTTGTTTTTATGCCTCGATGGTGCCACTCTTTCTCAGCACTGCACGAAGGCGCTGATGTCCACGTGGTGCGACCACAGAATGCTCAAACCCAAGCGAGACGCAGCGAACAACTACATGAAAACGTAAAATAGCTTCTTTTGTCTAAAGGTACCAAAACGAACAGCAATCAACAAAGCAGAATAAAAGGAAACAGGTCGAAAGGTGAAAAGAAATAGACACAAAGAAACATATACATGCGAAGCAATGCTTGAGCTTGCCCATTCGCCATGTGGGCCTGTTCTGTGCCGCCTTAGGTCACGGATGGTGCGTTCTATTCCTTTGATGTTCCCGATTCCTTCAAGGCAACGGTTTTCCAGTCACTTCACCCTAAAAGCGTGTTTTCGCTAGTAGGTGGCAGGCCATTGCTATTAAAGGGTTGGAGGCCATCGCAATCAATGCATGTTGCTTTTTATTGTTGCAGGCCGTGAACCGGGCCAAGTACCAGAGAGATCGACAGACTGGGCCTCAGCAGAAATTCAACCCTCTACTTGGCAATACTTGTAAGCTCTTAATTAAGGGACAAACTTGTAAGCTACTAGGAATAGGAAGCTCCTAGCTAGGTCGCAGGATAGCTCACGCTCGCACTGATTTGGTTCCTAGTTTCTAGGGAAGCTTATCTGTTTAGAGGTGAGCGTGAGGTCGCAACTTCAAACCCAGGCTTCTTGGCAAGACTGCTGAGTATGTATCGGATAGACGCTTGGACGGTATTTAGAGCGTTAAGTCTTGATTATTAATAAAGAACGTTTAAATGTCAGGAAAAAAACATCTGAAGATCTAAAGGAAAAAAGAACAACGAGATTACAAAAAAAAACACACTTTAGTTTCAATTAGCAAGAGGAAGACATGTAATCTGCACAACGAGGTGGAGCGCGGGTGTTCACCGGTGAGAGTCCTTCGGAGGACACGCTCGGGCTTTTGAATGGTGCTCTTTGGCGAAGTGTTGGAAACGCCCAGTGTTCACCGGTGTGCATCATGTTATACAAAGAAGAAGTGAAACAGAACAGAAGACAACAAGAAGAATAGAAAGGTTTACAGATGAAAGAGGAGGTCTAAATAGTGCATCTCTACTCGTAACAAGGGCATTACTACTAGTAACAAGGAGCTACTAGTAGCAAGTGCATCGCTACTAGTAGCAAGAAGAGGTCTAAAGGCCTAAAGAAAAAGAGTTGGTACTGACCTGGGTGGCACAGGACTTTGTGAAGCGGCGGCGCCTGACCGTGCCACGCAGTCAGCAGAAGGCTCTGAATGCGCAAGCAGTTTGGAAGAGGTTCACTTGGCAAAGGAGAACCTAGTGAGCGATGGCCTCCAACCTAGCAATGGCCAGGACAAAGAACACTTCCAGGTTACACACCAAGATGTGTGAAATGTTGCAGTGCATGAAGCATGGGAGGTTTTGAAGTACGTTCTTGGTGAGAAGGAGGCAAGTCATATTCGTTCTTGGTGTTTTGTGGGCAGAAACAAGATCAGAGTTCTCTCTCGATACACCCATGCACCGAATTGAAGCACTTGAACCTAAGTCCTTGCTCCGTTTGTAGCGATGCCAAGAGCCCCTAGTAGCTTTTCGTTCCCAGTAGTAAATACATATAAATACATGTTGCCCAGAAAAGGAGATGAAACCTGACGCCGCTAAGATGCTAAGCAGTGCCGAGCTATTGAACAGCTACAGGCTACACTGCCAGAGCCACGACAGCATTTGTGCAAATAGCGTGCGTGCAAATGCGGGAGTGGCACAGGATGTACCCAGGTGGCTGGAAGGCTTGCTGCGGACCTGTAGTGTTGCATGAAGAAAGGTATAACTCGAAATCTCAACAGCACCATGACAGGATTAAACAAAGCACCTATCTTCATTCAAAGTTTAGCCTGCCTTAATTTACTGGAAATGACATCGAGACAATGCGATTTATAGTGGATGAATTCACCGGAAAAGAAAAGAAACGAGGTCAACAGATGAGGAGATGGAAGGCTTTGTTTAATCAGGGGTGGCATCCACACTGACATGGGGCGACCAGGCCTCGTGAGGGGTGCTCAAATCACTACAACTGGCTTAATCATTTTGACTCAGATCTGCTGAAAGAAGACAGAACAAGAAAGAGAAACAGGAAGAGGGAATGGAGGAAGGACAGGAAGAGAAAGAGGAACAAAGAGGAACAGGCCAAAGAAAGGAAAGGAAAGGGCAGGGGGAGAAGAGAAAAGCCAGACTGCAACAAACAAACAAAGAAACACACAAACAAACAAAGGGGGGTGGTCTGATAGGGGGGATTAGAGTAAAAGTGGTCTATTCGGGGTTGGCAGAGGTTCATGCCGTAGCTGCTTGCTTGAGTGGCGACCTGAAGAGAGCTGTTCACTGCTTTCTTCTCTCTACGGCTTATTTTTTTTGCTTCAATGGTTCTTCACATGTTTATGGCCTTTGTTTTTGCATGCTTTTATACTTGCTTCAGCTTTTCATGTTCGTTTTGCCTTTTTCTAGCTGTTTTTGTTTGCACTCTTTGCCGCTTGCTTGGCGCTCTCTTTGTTGTTATTCGTCGACCAAGCAAACGAGACAAAGCTAAGGGTTCGAATACAAGATGAAAGAGCAGACTTATATTTCCACTCTTTTTGATGCTTAACATATCGCAATGGCCAACACGTCCTCGCTTTGTCTTGACTTAGATCCAGCACAAATCCGCACGTCATTTCGCCGCAAGGCAGCACATTTCGAGAGGAATTGCCACAGATCATGGCAAACCTACACCAAGCACAGACACGGTGCACAAAAAAAAGGTCAAATTGGTCCAAAGAAAAGATGAGAAGAAAGGACACGAAAAAAGACAGATTCTTTAAGACTCAGAAGACAAATGCACTTTCACTGGCGCGTTTGCTTTCGGACTTGGTCACTTGGTGGTCTATATTTCTTGTGGAAACACGTTCAAGCTCTGACTGTGGACCGATATCCACAGGATCTGCTGGAGTGCATAGTCCATTGCTCAGTCAAAATTTAGCTTGAAGCAGCTTGAGTAGAATGAAGTTGAATTGGGCCATCGCTATTAGGAACAAGAAGCTACAAGGGGCTCCTGGCATCGCTACTAGGAGCAAGGACGCTACAAGAACCTCCTGGCCGTACTACTAGGAGAAAGAAGCTTCTAGGTTGGAGGCCATTGCTATTAGTAGTGTTTTCCTGTGTTTTGGTCGTTCAAGATGTAGTTGAGGTGAAGGAGCCACAGGCGCTCAAACTGAGGCTCTGTTAGGCTCTGTTAGCACCCACAGCAATCTCCCACAGAGCCTAAGAGAGCCTTTCCAAAAAGCATGGTTGCTAGGTATATGTTTTGTTTGACGAAACACTTGCAAATTCTTTAGGCCTTTTTTCTTTCGTGTACGACGCAGGAAGACGGCGGCGAGATGCTCAAACATCGTTTGGCACCCAGAATTGTCATGAGTTAGAATTGCTCAGCCTTCGCTTTCTGCCCAGGTTGGTGGCGAGTGCTGAAAGATGGAGGCACTAGTGCAATCATGGACTTGGATTTGAAGGAGGCAGAAGCCCGGGAGCTTTCTCAAGTGTTCTAGGCTATCCGCCAGGCTTTGTTGACAGAGTTTGCCGCCTAGTTCGATATTGCCACTGAATCAGTCTTAGATGGTTTGGTTTTTGCCTTCTGCCTTTGGCTTGACTGACCCTTTTTAGTGCTTGTATTTTTGCAGGTAGGTTGGAGGCCATCGCTATTAGTGTTTTCCAGTGTTTTGGTCGTTTTACCTGAAGAAGGCATGACCTTCATAACAGGTGCACCGGACCGGATGTGTTATTTTCGTTTTCTCCATGTGTGCCTCCTTCAAGCAGAACATTTGTCACGGTTTTTACGATGTCAAGGAGATGAAAGTCTCTGCAAGATGGACCATGAGTTATTCTATGAAAGCAACAAATGCAAACAAAAGAGCACAGAGTAAACAAGAAGAGCAAAACACACACATATATATATATATTATATAGATACACATTATATTGTGGTCATTTTCTAAGAAATCAATATGTTTTGCTTATGTTTCTTATTCATTGGGGCCTTGCAGGGCTATGGTAGATCCAATTTGTGTGCAGGACCAGCTGAAGGAATTTGGACCTGAAATGGAGGATCCGCAAACGAATTCAGAGCACAGAAGCAATATAGTTCGCATTGGTGGCTAAAGGTCTAAATCGGAAAATTCAGGAAACGAGACAAGACATGAAAAGGAAAGGCCTAAACAACAAAGGACAGCAATGAATCAATTTATGAGTTCGGATGTTGAAGCCGGTAGTGACATGTAGTGGCTTCCGGGCTGAAGCGTCAGGCTATCCTTCAAAGCTTTCGCCTGGGCAACTGACTTTTGATTCGGCTGCACCAAGCATTAAAGAATCGCATGCGACATGCGCAAAGATCACCGTATAGCTGACCAAAGCTGACAAAGAGGCGAACATTCAAGACCGATTGCAAAGGATCTGTACATGATTCACATGATTCTCCCGCTGTGATTAGAAATTTTCTCCGGATATTGGAGGCTATGAGGCTGGTTAGATCTCCCAAAGAGCAGAGATTTCCCAGATGAAGATCGGATGCCAGGTGATTTGGGGTGGCCAGGGCACTTTGATGCGGACGGACGAGGCGGACTTCATGCGAAGGTGGACGCCAGTCGTTCGGCAGCTGGCTGGGCCCAGCAGGACACTGAAAGGGGGGGGGGCAGCAGAATCTGGGAATGAATGAAGTTGTTTACACATTGTGTCATTGTGTTAAATGCTATTAGGTTGGAGGCCATCGCTAGCAGGTGAATGCATGAATGCATGAATGAATGAATGAATGAATGTGTTTAACATGCAAAGAAACATAAGAATACATACCATCATCATAAGGGCCTCTATTGAAGAGGCCCTTACTGTCTTTTTCTTCTGCTTTTTTTGAAGAATATGTTTGTCCAATGGTTCATTTGCAAGTTGTGTCTCAAATGTCCAAAAAGAGTCTAGGAAGCAAGTCAACCATGCGACATGTCCAGTCCTGGGCGGTAACAAATGCAGCTGGGCAGGATGTCAGGCAGCAAGAATCTTTGAGCTGCTCGAATTGTCTGAGCTGAAAAAGGGGCGACAAGGAAGATACAGGTCGAGTCATATCTTGTGATCAGGTTTGCAGTTTGGTCCACTCTTGGCGGAAGAGCGGTAACATATTGTTTTTTTTGGCCTCCAACCTACTAGCGTCCTTGCTCCTAACAGTAAGGCCAGGAGCCCCTAGTAGCGTACGATCGCTCCGTTCGTATCAATGATTGCCATGTGCCGATGTCTTGGGCTGGAGCCGAGAGATCGACTTGAGCTAGAAAGGGCACAACTTCAGAGAAGCACGGTCGCTTCAGGCATGAAGAAAGAGAGTTCACGTGGAATTGCATGCTTTTTGGGATGCCGGTCCATCTTTGGATTGAGATTCTGTTCACAGCAACTGTCACTTCAAATATACGGTCTTTTCCACAGTTTTGTGTATCATAGTAGCATAGACAAGCCATGAACGACTTGGGAAATGAAGGCATTGCAGCGGAGGCAACTTTTTTTTGTTCTCTTGGGAACTTGTTTTGCTTTAATGCGTCATTAAAGCTGCTTACCTTTGTTACTTAGGCCTTTTTTTCCTCTTGTAGAGGTCGATAGTGGTTGTTTGATTCTGGAGTTCAGACGACAATTAAACGAAAGGCATGTGCCATGTGTGCCATTGAGGCCATTGAGAACGCTCCGCTAAAGAATGGCAACGAGTATTCCGAAATATGCCATGTTGATGTCGGCTTCCCAGACAAATGCATATAGGTTGGAGTCTATCACTATTGGGATGGAGGCCACTGCTAGTAGGTTGGAGAAAAGGGGCCATCGCTGTTATTATAAATCAGAGATGGGCCGCGTTTGTGAGCCGACGTCACTCCGACAGGAGTGTTCAGTGAGTCCGACTTTGACTCCCAGTGAGGAGGCTGCTCAAAAGTACGTTTGGACAAGAGTGGGCGGAGGAAATTCTTGCAACAAAATTGCAGGAGGCAACACATGTGCGAGACAACGGATTGTTTAACCAAAGTAGTACAGTTTTATGTTCAAGCTTCTGCCAGGAAACAATGTGTTGAAGTATGAGAAAGACAATCACCCCTGCCTCACAGTTCATAGAAATTCATTGCTTGCCTGACGTGCTTCAATACCTGACTAGGAAAATAAAGAAAGCCGTGACACATTGTGATGATATAATCTTGCACACATGATGTTTTCGACTATTGCACCGATTGCTGACAGACCCCCATTCTTTCGATTAAGCTAATAGTAATGGTTCATTCTTGTTGTGTGACCACGTGAACCTTGCACTCCAGAGCTCTTGTTGTCCATTACTAGTAGCTAGAAGCTAGTAACGAGGTTGAGCACTGTTATGACGACTTGCATCCGCGAACGTGCCCGAGATGGTCAGTGCTTTTCTGACTTGGGAGCTGGTAGGGCTCGTCTTGGTACCTCTTCGGACATTCCGCCTTTCGTCTCCACACCTCGGCGTCGAGTTGCTACAAGTCCTTTAAGGACTTCTTGTTACTAGTAGAAAGAATGCTCCTAGTAGCGATGCCAGGAGCCCCTAGTAGCGTCCTTGTTCCTAGTAGCGATGCTCTTTGCTCCTAGTAGCGTCTTTGTTCCAAGTAGCAAGGCCAGGAGCCCCTAGTAGCGTCCGATCGCTCCTAGTAGCGATGCCCTTTGTTACTAGTAGCGTCCTCCAGGAATCTACAGGATGAATGTCACATTGAAGGACAAGATATGTGACATACTGACCAAGTACTGCGGAACGGAGCAAGGAGAACCAAATGCTTCTTGACATATAAAGAAAGATGTTATTAGGTTGGAGGCCATCGCTATTAGGTTGGTTTGATTGCATTGTTGCCTTCCTGTGCATGTTTACTTGTAGAAAATGCACGTCTGAGAGATTTCTGCCCGATGTGAAGCTGTTTTGTGGTGCAGGCACGGACGCAAGTCAACGGTTCAGAAAGGTCCGCCTTTGGTTCGAGGTGTTGCGATCGCTCGTAGGTTGGAGGCCATCGCTAGTAGGTTGGAGACTGTGCAAAAAGTGCACTGTGTTGGTTTGCAAAGCACATGTCAAACAGGCCTCCTGAGTGCAGGTTGGGAGCCTTCAGCTCGTTGAAGCTTCAAACGTCACTTTTCAGTGTCACGTCGCGGTCGCGTCACTCGCGTCGTGTGAGGCGGTATACAAGAGAGCAATTGATGGCGCTGAAGTCCATTGCACTTTCCAATGCCCAAAGCAAAGGGAATGCCGCAGTGGCCATTGCAATCACGCAGTGGCCACGCTCTAAGGTGAAGCCGCCAAATTTATGCGAAATAATTGACCAGGCTTGGGAGATTCTTAAGAACGTGGTAAAACATTTGTTTCATATGCATCCGTCACATGTCACATCGTTGGAATGTGGTGAGAATTGTGTCAACTTGTCAAGGACAAACCCAATAGTACGCTGCGTACAAAGGCTGAAAAGGACGAGCGACGATCGTCCGATTCGGGTCGTGGCCGTTTGCGTTTGACGACGGAGCGATCGGACGCTACGAACGGGGCTCCTGGCATCGCTACTAGGAGCAAGGTTGCTACTAGAAGGTGGCTGTCTCACTGACCCTGCCGTTTTGCTGAGCTGAACGCAGCTTTCACACAGTTGGTTGAAGCTCTTCAAGCGGCATTGCCACGGCATCGCCCAACACGAGGATGAGGAAGAAAGAAAACCGCGACACCGCAACAAAGCAGACAGAGACAGAGATAGGGGCGACAGAGATCGAGGCAGGATTGCCATGGTTTGCCTCATTGTAAATGGTTTGTGACATGTTTCATTTGGAATAACTTCGAACAAGCCCAACGGGGCCCAACATGTCGTATGTGTATTGCTTTGTCGAAAAAAGCTCATAAGATGCAGGCACTAAGTCACTGCTGTTGGGTCGGGGATGGCAAGGCCGGAAACATGATGATGAACAGCGTCACCAGCGCCATGAGGAGGAGAGAATCTATACGATGTTTGATGCGAGTGGCTGAAATCGGCTGAAATTGTACGTGGATCGTGAGAAATCATTAGGAACTTGATTCTTGATGTTTGGGGTCCCACATGCTGAGGTTCATCCAGATTCCGACCTATGCATTGAAGTTTAGATGAGCAATTTCCAGAATCATGTATACAGAGTCACATGCGTTTACGAACGGAACACGTGTATATACGGAGAATGTGAAAATTGCCGTATGTTGCACGGGGTTCGTTTGACAGCAATTGGAGGTTCAGCAAAATACTGTTCACGTGCAATCAAAGAAAACAAGCCACATTTCAATTGCGGTGCAAGGCGTAGATATTTCAGAAAAGTGCAGCAGAGAGAGGAAAGGGTAGCGATGGCCTCCAGCCTACTAGCGATGGCCTCCATCCTCCAACCTAGTAGCAGGAAATTGTATAGAGTTGAGTTTGGTAAAGTACAGTACAACTAAGTAAAAGACGCTCAAGCCAGGGGGTCTTTTCAGCCTAGCTTTCGCCGCCTTTCGCGGCTCAGAAAGTTAGATTAGAAGTGGACTCTTCTAATCATAACGGGCCGCATCACAACCACACCACACCTTGTTTGTCGGTTTGTCAGCTTTTGGACAGACCGAAATACTTCTTTTTCCTGCATTCTGTTCTGTATAGGTAGTGGGACATACTAGTAACAAGGACGCTACTAGGGGCTCCTGGCACCGCTACTAGGAACAAGAACCTACTAGTAGCTCCTGGCCATACTACTAGTAACAAGAAGCTACTAGTAACATACCAGTACGTTCTCTTTCAGATTTGTTCTGCATCGCTGACTGGTATCGAGGACTGGGGTGGTTCAGATCCTTGGCGGGACTATGAGAAGAACAACCAAAATACAAGGCTGCCTGAGATGCATCATTTGCTAGGAGCAAAGGACGCTACTAATAGCTTCTTGTTACTACTAGTAAGGCACTTGTTACTAGAAGCGATGCACTTGTTCCTAGTAGCTTCTTGTTCCTAACATCCAAGTTTTTGGCACTTGTTAGATTCCTTTTTGTTGCGCTATTGTGAAGGTGGGAAGCCAAACAATGGGCTTACGGGGAACAGGAGCCGCGTGAGGGTCGTCTCAGATCGTTTTTGCTGCATCTTGCAAGAACATGGTTGAAAGACTGAAAGGCCATGGATTCATGCATTGTGGGAAAAAAAACACACTTACTGCCTGCTTGCTTTATCCCCACCCGACCAGGTTTGTCCTAATATGAGTGTCTATTCGGGGTGAAAGAATCTGAGCGGGTTGGAAAAACAGTTGCCTCTAGCGATGGACCTGGGTTGGGTCGGGCCAGTCTGGCTGGCGGGACCTATTGTGCTGTCATTGTGTAGTCCCTGTCACTGTTCTCTATGGTTGTTTTGGTCATCCTGTGGTCAAGCGCATCGGTGCAATCCTCGGATCGTTTTTTTTCGTGGTGTGTTTGCCAAGGCTCAGGATCTTTGGCACCTAGCTGGCTGATTCAGTCGTTTCATCTCCCGAGTGAATTGCCATTCCACATGTGTGTGTGTGGTCACTGCGTATTGGCTGCTGTCGTGTTTGCCACCGTGTTTGCCACCCCTGCTTGATGCTGTCATGTCGGGCCACTGATGATGCCGGGGTGGCCTTTGTGGGGGCACGCGATACTGTGAGAAGGCAAGGAAACAACGCAAACACTACTAGCGATGGCCTCCACCCTAGGTAGCGACTACCAGGAGCAAGAAGCTACTAGGAACAAAGGGCATCGCTACTAGGAGCAAGGACGCTAATAGGACGCTAACACAGGCCCTTTGTTACAAGAACACTTGTTTAATTATCAAATCCTGTCTTGGGTCGCGGCACGTTCCTTTGTGCCAAGGAGCAAGCTGGTGATTGGCAGGCGGAAGAAGCGACCCCAAGAGCATCCGCAGTGGTTTCTGCCCTTCTTCCAGTGGTTCCAGTCATTCCCCCAATGCGTTTCCAGGAAGAAGCAGAGTGGGACAATCCCGGTGAGGCCGAAAGTCCAGGCCTCGACTTTGAACTTCTTAAGGGAAGTAGCGTCCTCATGGCCTGCAACCTCATGGCTTCTT